CCCCCCCCCCCCCCTCTCTCTCTCTCTCTCTCTCTCTCTCTCTCTCTCTCTCTCTCTCTCTCTCTCGTGCGCGCGCGCGCAAACAAAAGAAACAATGGAAAAGAAGAAAGGAAACAGAGAAAAAAACATTGTGCCACATGCGGAGCTACATGGTGCAATTTTGCACCTTTAACCCTGCAATCAGACTTGTTTTCTTCCTTACTCAGCATGCATGAAAACAAATGGCAATCACATTGGCGACAAGCGCCCATACAAAGCTCAGAGATTTCGTGGCCAAGAACACAGTTCAAATTCAACTTGCTTCAATGGCTACAACGCATGTGCGCCCTCACAACACCCTTCCACACGGTATCCTCAACAACTGTTCACACACACGCTACACTGGATCTCCTTGGATGTCCCACACACGCACACAACTCACAACACACTCGTACACAAACACGCTGTTGTCGATCTCTAACCTGTAGCAGCTATGGTTGCGTTCTACCTCTAACACTAACTAGCGGCTATGGACGCTTTGTCTCCCTCTCGGCCCACTTCTTCCACAAGCACCTGCAGACCTCCTTGCACAAGTCGCTCATGCAGTGCTTCCGAACGACTCACAGTTTGAATGAATGAATAATTGGATGCTGCCTCTTGATTTATACTTCAATTGGTCTCCGGTCTGCTCCTTTCCATCAGGCCTAGGATGCACACATTCCCACATGGTACTTGCTAACTGGACAAGGTGCGACTGATACTGGCTACTGCTAACTGACCTAGTAAGTCTGCCCACTTCCCCACTTGCCCACTTGCCTTCGGACTGCTTCTGAGACTCTCGAAGGGGCAGTCCTAGAAGACTCTAGACCTTCCTACTTGCCCTTTCGATACTGTAGCGACTACGACTCGGGTTGACCCTTCAGACCTACAACAGCTACGACCAGACTTAGCTACGCCTTTTATCCTACAGGTAAGCAGCTCGAACCTACTCACCCTTCGTATGAACAAATGCCTTAGACAGACAACTTTTAGGGGCAGGTCACGGGTTCAAACCTAGATGGGGCAAACTATACTGTACACGGGTTCGGGGCAAGTCTAGGGATCAAGCCCTGGGATATGCATCTGCTACTGCAAAGGTGAAAACCGTTTCACTCCCGCAGGCATAAATTCGAGGTCCTCCGAGAATATTCTAGTTCAAGACAAGGTCTTTACCTTTCCTCAATCTTTCATAGGCGCGGATTATGTCAGGGGCGTTTCCTAGCAGTTCTGTTTGTGTAAACCTGTGGTCATCCTCTGGCTCTTGATAAGCAAATCTGACTTTGTACTGTTTTTGGGGACGTCACCTCTACCTTCGGTTATGAATACATCCTCACCTACTAAGCAATCAATGTCGTACCTTCCGTCCATATCCGAAAGGATCATGGACCTCCTTTATGGGAACTACTGACTCGTATTGCAGGGAAATAACTTCGACACATGTAAAACTAGGTAGGTGTGGAGGTGTGTTGGAATCTCTATCGTGTAGGACGGTCCATCCTCTCCGCCCTCGACTTCTAGGATTGGCCACAGTCCTCTATACACAGGTAACAGTTCTTGCGAAATGTTCTCCTCAGGAGCAAACGCTTTGGACTTGATCCAAACTAGGTCGCCTACCTAGAACTATGACGGGCGACGGTGTTTGTTGGCTTGCTCTATCATCTTATGCTGGGCTTTCCTGAGGTTCTCAATCACGGTAGCAGTCTCTTTCTCGTGTTGTGTTGTAAACTCCCTAGTACCGGGCGGTAGCCTCCAGATCGGATCCCGGTTCAATCCCTCAAATGGCATACGAGGTCTAAAGGACTTATGTAGTTCGTTGGGAGTGCAACAGGTTGCTAAATGCACGCTACTGTTATATGCACTGGCTACCTTTGGAAGCATCTCATCCCAGTTGACTTCATCGGGTCTAATGTACATTCTAAGAACTTGTTGCAGGATCTTGTTCACCTGTTCGGTCTGACCGTTAGTCTTTGGATGGCAAACAGACGACATCAACAACTTAAAAGTCGTAGACTCTCATCGGTTCCTGCCAGTTCTGACTAGTGAATCCGGTGTCTCTGTCACTTTAGTGTGTGCGTCTGAAGGCAAAGGAATAAAAATTTTATACTTACTAAATCTATCTACTATAACCATGACCTCAGTGTCCATGAAATTGATGGATACGGAATCTCCGGGTCCTGGTGGAATAGGCGAGGGTCTGAAAAGACCAAGAGGGGCTCCTGTGGTGGTCTTATTCCTCTGGCATACCTTACACTGCGCACGTACTTTATACAGTCAGCCTTAATGCCAGGCCATGTATATGGGCGAACTATGTTGGATAATGTCTTTTGCCAACCGAAGTGTCCCTCTGTGTCGTGGCATTCCCCTAGGATGAAACTACGGATCTCCTCACTGCTGGGAATGCATAATCAATCAACTACGTTAGTCTTCTCAAATAACAACCCATCTGTAGTGCAATAATCTGGCTCAGAGATAGGGGACTCCTTAACTCTCTTGAGGAGGTCGCTATAAATAGGGTCCTCTGCATACGCCTCTTTGATTTTCTATTGCAGGTCTCTCCCTATGTCCAGATAATGTACTATTGCTCCAAAGTAATCGGCCCTCCTACTCAGAGCGTCTGCAACTACATTGCACCCCTTTAACACGCTTGAGCTCAAAGTCAAACCGATCTATCTTTGCGGCCCACCTAGTAAGCTTAGGTGTCATCTTGGCCTGAGTCTTCAGCAACCTCAATGTCTCGTGGTCTGAGTAAACTTTGAAGGGGCTCCCAAGCAAGTAGTGCTTCTAGTGGTCTAAGGCTTGCCCGAGAGCGTAGAGTTCCCTCTCATAGGTTGATGTCGCTACCTTCTCTGAAGGCATCCTAACGAACATGAACTCTACAAGTCTATACCCATTGCCATCATCTTGCTGTAGAACAGCACCCATACCATACTGACTGGCCTTAGTGGTGACAACGAAGGGCAAGCATGGATCGACTACCTTGAGGACTGGGTACTCTATCAAAGCCCGCTTCACCTTCTTTAGGGTCGATGTACAATCTTGGTTCCACTCCAAACTCACTTCTGTCTTTAGCAATTTGCGAAGGGGGGCAGCGATGGCAGAGCAGTTCCTCACGAACTTACTATAGTAATTTGCCAACCCTAGGAACGACCGCAATTTTATCAATGTGCGGGGAGTCGGCCTGTCTCTAATCATTGTTATCTTGTTGTCCTTAGGCTTTATGCCATCTCCATCTAGAACATGGCCCAAGTACAATACTTGCGTTTTGACCCATTCACACTTCTTCGCATTGATCTTGAAGTTAGCTTCTCTCAGTTTCTCCAAGACATGCCTTAGTGGAGGGTTTTGCTAAACACTAGAATATCATCTGGATACACTATCACAAATTTATCTAACCACGGCCTAAATCTATCTAACCACGGCCTAAACAAATCGTTCATGCAGCGCTAACATGCGGCCAGTGCGTTGGTTAGTCCAAAGGGCATCACTATAAACTCGTAGTGCCCGTATCTAGTCTTGAACGCTATCTTGTACTGACCATCACGATGAAACCTCTATCTGATGATAGCCTAACTTCAAGTCTATCTTGGAGAAATACTTGCAACCCTGCACCCGATCCAACAAGTCATCTATCCGGGGCAGTGGTTCTGCATTCTTCACTGTGACGACGTTAAGACCCCTATAGTCAATGCACATTCGTAACTCTCCCTCTTCCTTGGGGACGAAGAGGACAGGCGCTCCAAACGAAGACGAACTGGCCTAATCCAACCCTTCTCGAGGAGTTCATCTAACTGCTTGCGCAACTTCTCTAACTCTATTGGGGACATTCTATACATAGCTCCCTTAGGAGTCCTACTGCCAAGCTCTATCTCAATTTGATGCTGGATTGGCCGCTGCACTACTCCATTAGGCGGCTCAGACAAATCTGCATATTCTTCCAACAACTTGGCAATGTGAGGGTCGATCGGCTCTTCCTGTTTAGGCTCAGTAACTGGCATAACATAGGCTACAAAGACATGTTCTAG